AAAAAAATAACTAACCAGTATACGAGCAGCTTCAGGTGACAATGACTTCCCTTCCTCACAAACAACAAAATCGGAAACAAGCTCCACAACTCCTGTAAATATTGGAAAAATCAATGAAGCATGTCCACTGGTCAGGTTCCTTTATACCGAAGTTACAAAACATTGCAATAAAGTACCTTTTTTTAATCGAACAGGCATGCCTTGCTTTCGTAGAAAAGGTTCCATCTCATGCGTAAACTGCTCCAAGGTTCCTTCTTTGAGATCAACCTACAACACTCAGACAGTGAATGTGTGAATTCGTAAATTAGTATTGAATGAAGTACCCAACGATTATGAAAGACAAATGGTCTATGAAGAGTTTCCACTACACAGCCTTTGAATGGATAAGTCAGGAATTACAAAAGGAATAGACTCTAAACACCTTTTCCGTGGCAAGGCTTCCTGTTCTTGCAAAATCGTATTCTTCAAATTCCTTAAACAGCCTGCAAATGAACCAACAAAACTCAAATCTGCCTTAGAAAGAAAATAGGACACCTAGAATGACTACATAGTTGAAAAATCACAGAACGTAAAGTCATGCCCTACATACGACTCGTAAATTTGCTCATTACCATAAATACCTAGACTTTTAATCTTACTACATTAAAATGCTGTGAACAGATAAGGATATAAAACATATACATATATTGATAACATAAAAAGATAATACATAGCATTTTATTTTCAGTGTTCCCTATACCTTTCAACCTCTTCCTTAGACAAATTCGTAAAAACCATGCCAGCATCTCCGCGCAATAGCTAAAAGAACAAAAAGTATATAATTAGTATACAAAAATTAAATATAAATTATGGATTGAAACTGGNGCCTCCTTTATTCCATTCACTATCGCCTCTTTATGATCCCTTCCCTTCTTCTTCGTCTTCGATAGCGTAACTGCGTTTTTTCAGATACATCAACAAAACCATCGCTTTCGCTTCCAAATTAGATCACACGCAGCAACAACAACATCAAAGTTATAACTACAGAATAAGGATTGAGAATAACGAAACGCACATACCTTGTTTATTTCTCTTCGACTTCGGCATTTTGAAGTTCTTCTTTCTCTTTGCTTAACCCTTTCGCTGTTGCGACTTCTCGTTGTAGGGTTTTGGTTTTGTTATGAAGTATCATATATCACATAATAGACTCGGTATTTTACCTCCTCTTTTCGGATTGGGCTTTGCGTATTTTAAATGGGCTTCCTGTGTAAGCCCATTATTTGTCAGTCAATTTTTTTTTGTTACTTTCAAATGTATAAAAAAATATATTTAATATATTTGAATTTGAAATATTTTACAATTTACATTTTTAAATATTTAAATTCCCTCTTAAAAATATTAAAAAAATATATTTTGAAAATCAATTTGGAAATTAAACTCTAAATTCAAAAAGAATTTTGGTGTGTATTTTCAAATTTCCAAAACCAAATGCATACTGTTTTGGTGAGTATTTTATTATTTCCTAAAATATTTAATCGATCAAAGGGAATTTTCTATCTTTTTCTTTTGTCTTAAAAACTTTTCAGAATCAACTATCAACCGTACCTGAATTGAGATATAGAGTAGAAAAGCGATAGAATAAATAAATTTGGAAGCCATTATAAATAAAAAAAAAATAGTTGAAAAAAACACAATAAAAATATAATATAACTTTTTGAGAATTTATTGATTTATTATATAAATAAATAAGAAATGATAGAAGATATTTTGGGATTCTTTAATTGGATTTGAAATTGACTTATAAAAAGAATTGTTGCATACTGACCGAACTTTATTGTAGATGATATGTGCTTTATTGTGGTCCTTTGTTCTTCAAAGTCTCTCGTTTGCATAAGGTACTATTTTAATACTAAAATTAGTAAATGACCATTTGATTAGTCATTGATGTATATTGTGTATTTGTCATCTTAAAGTTATACATAATACCTTTATATATAGTAATTACAATAAACTTTTATTTTTTGTCACCTTAATGATCGTTCAATCACACATTGATATGACTAAGACCTTAATTTATCATTAAGGTTTTTAACCCGATGTAACCAATCAACCATGTTGTGCCTAGTTAATAATGGTGGACCTGGGCGTTTAGGTTGTTTAATTTGGACACGGTGTAGCTGCACGACCATACTATTGTGATTGATGGATTAAAAAGAATGATTTATCTAAGAGAGATTGAACACATATGAGTTCGACCTATAAAAGACAATATGGAGAATTTGACCTGAAGAGGTTGATCTAAAGAAATCAACTTGAATTGGAGTCGACCTTAATAGACAACTTAGAGTTTGACCTTAAAGACGCTTTAGAACTCAATATTGATAAACATTTTAATACTCGACTTTGGTGGATGATTTGAAACTTGATCCATGACAATTTGTATATATAAACGTTAAATAAAACAATAAATATAATATACGTGAAACAATGCACTTATTTTTAAAATGAATATTTTTCTTATAATTTATACCAATATTTTATTAAAAAAGGTAGTTCTTTTGAAACTTTAATCAAANTTATATGATTTATTCAGCTTTTTTATAGGTTATAATCAGCAACACGACTTCTTTTGCAATTATATCATCCTCAAAATGCTTATGGGTGGTAACAATTACGTCCTTATTTATTGCTACAACAACAGTTCATATGAATAGCAATAAAAGAAAGGGTGATTCTGTCAGCAAAGCATAAAAGATAAATTAAAAAAAAAATTGTAATGCCAAATTATCATCACCATTTAGACAAATATCGGCCAAAGCAATCTTAAGATGAATCCTGCAAGTGTAAACCAATAAATATTTGTTACCCTATATTAAATTCTTTCTAGAGAAAAAAAAATATTCTATGCTTTCTAATTTTAGAACCTTTACATTTTCTATTTAATATTTTCATGCCCTTTATTCTTTAACATGTACCTTAAAGCACAAACATATAAACAAAACTCAACACTGAAATGAAAATATAAAAGAGATGGAAGGTTAAATTATATTCTAATTTATTTTTCATGGTCATAAAATAAGCTAGTTATGATATCCAATGATTGTTCAACTGTCAATGTTTTTCAAACCTATTACAAATTCAACAGTCAAACACAGGTATCTCAACTGGATACAAATGGATTCTATCTGACCAAACATTTCTTACATTTGGATCAGTATCAGAAAGACACTTCCAAACTGCACTGTTACACTTGAATCCACTTCCAAAGGCAATTTGCCACACCCTGTCTCCTTTCTTCACTCTTCCTTTTGCCTCCAAATAGCAAAGTTCATACCACAGAGAAGAAGATGAAGTATTGCCAAATCTGTATAAAGTCATCCTTGAGGCTTCAACATCTTTCTTTTGCAGCTTAAGACTTTCCTCTATGACATCTATGACTGACTTACCTCCAGCATGTATACAGAAATGTTCAAAAGCCTTCTTAAAATTTGGCACATAGATTTCTTTTCTCCCTCTAGGCCATATTTTCTTGCAAATCACTGACCATCCAAAGCACAATTGTTCTGAATATGGCAAGACAAGAGGACCTAAGGTTGTTATATTGGTCCTCAAAGCTGAAGCAGCTACAGTAAGAAGAGATCGTGAGAGGGAAACACCCACCATCTCGTTTTCATCAGATTCTTGGTAAACAGACTTATATGCTTGGTCATTTGATCCTGCGTGGGTCCTTACAAGATGTTGAAGCTTGTACTTGGCCACTAGCTTGTCTTGTTTTCTGTTAGATAGTAAAATGGCTACTCCTCCCATTCTAAACAATACATTGGCAATAAGCATGGATTTGTCATTACCTCTGTAGCCATTTGAAGCTACAGCCTCCATGCTAAGAACTAAAGCCAATGAGTTGTTGTGAACTTTCAACTGATCTCTGGCCAAGTTTATTGACAACAGTCCAGCACTGCAACCCATTCCACTTAGGTTGACACTCTTGATGTTGCTCCTGAATCCAAACTTGTTTATGATCATTGATGAAATGGATGGTGTAGGACAAAATAGGCTACAATTTGACACCAGGATGTCAATGTTTTTAGGATTCACTTTGTGCTTGGAAAGTAGATCTTTGACAACTTTGAAAAGAACCAGTTCAACTTCTGCTTGTGCAGACTTCATGGAATCATTTGGGGGGATCTCGTGAACTGATTCTGGCATGCATGCCTCGACTCCAATACCGGACCTTTCCAGCACTTTGATTTCAAAGTCTAATGTTTCTTTGTCAAAGTTGCATAGTTCAAAGTGTTCTACCATATGAGAGTAAGGGATGCGCAAATGATCAGGAGGCATATAACAAACATAGTCAATAAGATACACTGTCTGAGGTCTAAAACAAAAGTAAAGTATTATAACTATTAATGCTATGACTGCTAAGGATTGGGTGGTAGACATTGAGCATTTAGATATGAAAGACAAATTACAGAAAGAGTGGTATATGGATTGAAGAATTGTCATTGTCATAAGCTTAATCGTAACCATTTGAATTTTGGATATGATTTACTAGTTCTAATGTAAAGAATTAACTCTTTTGGTGCAAGTAAAGTTTTTATAGAGGTGAAGTTATATTCTCTTACTCATGCGTTGTTGTTCCTCCCCTGTTTTTCTCTAAATAGATGCATCCATCCATTATCACAAAATTTGCGTGATAACTAACAAGAAACTTCAGTACCTTGATAAATTGTGAGAAGGAGGAAATTCGGATTGCAAGAAAATGAAAAAATCATGATTATAGAATGATACAATAAATTATGGATTGCAAGAGAAAATAAACAATGAAATGTATTATTTTATTTATAATGGGCCAAATTATTAAGGCCTTAACCCATTTTATGTTATGGGTTTGTGCCTAGATGTTTTTAATCCATTCATTAGATCCGTGGACCAGGTTGAATACTCTCCATGATAGAATATCTAAACCAAAAATCATACCATTAAAAATTGGAATTTTCGAGAGTGAGCTCCATCCAAGTGATTTAATAAAAATAAATATATATCCGCAGACAAAAATCTAAATAGATCAAAACTGAATCACAGTAATTTGAGTTTTTTCATAAAGTTACAGATAACACCACTTCCTTGTTAACCACGCAACCTAGTTCACAGAATTCCTAAACATTCCAAAAATCAACTCATCTTAAAATACATTATGCAATAATCCCTATAAGACTGTAGCTTCAAATCACATTTGCGTGATATCTCGTAATGTTCAAACTTTTTTTAGAGGGATGCTCCATGAATCTTCTAAATTTAAAAGAGGTACTATGAGCATTCAACATCTGATTCATCCGGTCCATCGATGTATAGCTCAAAGTCATCACGACTCCACCTGCAAATTAGGTGAAGACGAAATGTAGCCATCTTGATTCCCATTAAACGCTGCAATTAAAAACAATCGTTACGTCAGCATGTCAGTTTCATAATCACAGAGCACTAATAATGGTACACCATCATTATAGTCTCAGTTACCAACACTTAAATTGTTAAATTGACTTAGACAAGAATGATATAGCTGAGGACGAAATGCATGCCTATTACAAAGCCAAGTTATTGACTACTACGGGAAAAAATTGGAAAAGAGTACGGGTAATTTAAAGAGACAAAGTAATCGGAAGCATCAACTTAAAGCGCGCTATATTTCCTCCAAAAGCAGTGTTACTCCCCGCAAAAAAACGAAAAAGATAGTTGTTGCCAATTAAAAAGGTCTTCCAACATTATAAAAAATGTTACAACAAGTCGAATGGATGATGCTGGAAACAGTAAAAAAAATAACTAACCAGTATACGAGCAGCTTCAGGTGACAATGACTTCCCTTCCTCACAAACAACAAAATCGGAAACAAGCTCCACAACTCCTGTAAATATTGGAAAAACCAATGAAGCATGTCCACTGGCCAGGTTCCTTTATACCGAAGTTACAAAACATTGCAATAAAGTACCTTTATTTAATCGAACAGGCATGCCTTGCTTTCGTAGAAAAGGTTCCATCTCATGCGTAAACTGCTCCAAGGCTCCTTCTTTGAGATCAACCTACAACACTCAGACAGTGAATGTGTGAATTCGTAAATTAGAATTGAATGAAGTACCCAACGATTATGAAAGACAAATGGTCTATGAAGAGTTTCCACTACACAGCCTTTGAATGGAAAAGTCAGGAATTACAAAAGGAATAGACTCTAAACACCTTTTCCGTGGCAAGGCTTCCTGTTCTTGCAAAATCGTATTCTTCAAATTCCTTAAACAGCCTGCAAATGAACCAACAAAACTCAAATCTGCCGCAGAAAGAAAATAGGACACCTAGAATGACTACATAGTTGAAAAATCACAGAACGCAAAGGCATGCCCTACATACGACTCGTAAATTTGCTCATTACCATAAATACCTAGACTTTTAATCTTACTACATTAAAATGCTGTGAACAGATAAGGATATAAAACATATACATATATTGATAACATAAAAAGATAATACATAGCATTTTATTTTCAGTGTTCCCTATACCTTTCAACCTCTTCCTTAGACAAATTCGTAAAAACCATGCCAGCATCTCCGCGCAATAGCTAAAAGAACAAAAAGTATATAATTAGTATACAAAAATTAAATATAAATTATGGATTGAAACTGGAAAGAAAGGAGTAAGAATGCAACCTTTGAAACCTTATGAATGCCGGGACTGATCTCATCGGCGGCGGAGCGACCTAGGGCAACTTGCATTACCTTGTTAGAGCCGAGAAAGAACCTGCTACTAGATTTCAACTGTTCCCTAAACTCCTTGAATTTCTGATTCCTCATGTTCTCGAACGAGAACACGTATACGCACTCGTACTTTTCTGCAGCCTCCTTTATTCCATTCACTATCGCCTCTTTATGATCCCTTCCCTTCTTCTTCGTCTTCGATAGCGTAACTGCGTTTTTTCAGATACATCAACAAAACCATCGCTTTCGCTTCCAAATTAGATCACACGCAGCAACAACAACATCAAAGTTATAACTACAGAATAAGGATTGAGAATAACGAAACGCACATACCTTGTTTATTTCTCTTCGACTTCGGCATTTTGAAGTTCTTCTTTCTCTTTGCTTAACCCTTTCGCTGTTGCGACTTCTCGTTGTAGGGTTTTGGTTTTGTTATGAAGTATCATATATCACATAATAGACTCGGTATTTTACCTCCTCTTTTCGGATTGGGCTTTGCGTATTTTAAATGGGCTTCCTGTGTAAGCCCATTATTTGTCAGTCAATTTTTTTTTGTTACTTTCAAATGTATAAAAAAATATCTTTAATATATTTGTATTTGAAATATTTTACAATTTACATTTTTAAATATTTAAATTCCCTCTTAAAAATATTAAAAAAATATATTTTGAAAATCAATTTGGAAATTAAACTCTAAATTCAAAAAGAATTTTGGTGTGTATTTTCAAATTTCCAAAACCAAATGCATACCGTTTTGGTGAGTATTTTATTATTTCCTAAAATATTTAATCGATCAAAGGGAATTTTCTATCTTTTTCTTGTCTTAAAAACTTTTCATAATCAACTATTAACCGTGCCTGAATTGAGATATAGAGTAGAAAAGCGATAGAATAAATAAAATTGGAAGGCATTATAAATAAAAAAAAATAGTTGAAAAAAACACAATAAAAAAAATAATATAACTTTGTGAGAATTTATTGATTTATTATATAAATAGATAAATAAATAAATGAAATGATAGAAGATATTTTGGGATTCTTTGATTGCATTTGAGATTGATATTATATACGAACTTTATTGTGGTCATTTGTTCTTCAAAACCTCTCGCTTGCATAAGGTATTATTTCAATACTAAAGTTAGTAAATGACTATTTGATTAATCATTGATGTATATTATGTATGTATCATCTTAAAGTTATACATAATACCTTTATATATAATAATTACAATAATTTTTTACCTTTTGTTACTTTAACGACCGACCGTTCAATCACACATTAATATGATTAAGACCTTAATTTATCATCAAGGTTGTTAACCTGATGTGATCAATTAACCATGTTGTGCCTAGTCAATTATGATGTACCCAACGTTGTTTAATTTGGACATGGTGTAGCTGCACGACCATACTACTGTGATTAATGAATTAAAGTGACTGATTTATCTAAGAGAGACTCAACGCAGATGAATTCGACCTATAAAAGACAATACGAAGAATTTGATGTAAAGAGGTTGGTCTAAAGAAATTAGCTTGAATTGGAGTCGACATTGATAGACAACTTGGAATTTGACTTTAAAGAGATTTTAGAACTCACTATTGATAAACATTTTAATCCTCGACTTTAGTGGATGATTTGAAACTTGACCCATGTAAATGAGAATTTGTATATACACGTTAAATAAAACAATAAATATAATATAGGTGAAACAATGCACTTATTTTTAAAATGAATATTTTTCTTATAATTTATACCAATATTTTATTAAAAAAGGTAGTTCTTTTGAAACTTTAATCAAATCTTTCTTTCTCTTTTTGAATCTACCGCTTTCATTATTATTAATTTAACAGTGTTGATTAGTAATAAAAGCTAAAACAGAAATATTAAAGATGCAAAATAAAAAATGGAACATTTGTTCAAGAAAACAAGATTTCAGAAAATAGCATAAAAATTACTTTTGAAAATTGTTGGCAGTTTTGGTGATATTAATATTTTGTTTTCCTTAAAAGAAAAAAAAAAAAGACCGTTATATATGATGCTCCGTTCCATTTCCGAAGTTTGAAATAAAAGAGTAAGAGCGTGTTTTTGGCGCCTTGCAACTTAAGCTCAGACTCCTTCTTTGCATCTCCATTCCCTCTTCCCATGGCGTCTCCCTCCGAATCATCTCTCATTTCGAAGCTTCAGTCCTCCGATTCCCCCGGCATCCACGCCCTAGTCTCCGATTACCTCCGCCCCCTTGCAGATCTCAAGCCAACAAAGAAATCCAAACCCGACCCAACCCTAATCCGCTCCCTCGCGAAGCGCTTCCTCTCCTTCCTCAATTCCTCTCTATCCATTCTCCCCAAACGCCTCCCGGAGCTTTCCAAGTCCAAAGACTCCGTTTTGGTCCTCGAACTGCTCCGCGTTTACCGGCTTTGCCTCGATTGCTTGGACACCGTCGCTTCTCAGTTGGCTTCCAAGCCATTCTCAGTCGAATTCCAGAGACTTCGCTTGATGCACTGCCTCGAGTCCTGCGCCCTGTTCGCTGAAGCTGAAGTCGAGGGTTTGGGGCTTCTTGATAGGCTTCGACAGCCGAAGAGGAAGGGCAAGCTTCTCCCTGAAATAGACAAGGGCGGTGGAGACGGTAAAGACTTATGTTCTTTGGTAGTTGATATTGCCGTGAGCCTCGTAAGGTGTGCATCTGCGGGTTTGGCTAAAGAAGATGACAATTTCAAGAAGGTGCTTCAGTTGGTGGACGAAGTAACCCCTTGGCTCATGTACGTCCCACTCCGTTGCTGACTATAATTTTGTTTACTTTGCTTCTTTGTATGTGTGTTGGTCTGGTGTGCATATCTGAGCCCTGTAAATAGTTGTTCAGAAACATTTGAATTGAACCAAATTGATATTGAATTGAATTGCTTTAAAAATTGAATTGTTTAAAATGAAAAAAGGAACTTAATTGTTTTTATTTAGTTTTAAAAATTTTAGTTACTCTTACATAAGACTGCTTGAACTAAATTGAACTATAAATTGTGATATTGGAAAATGTACTTCAAAATGGGATGATTTACTGGTAATAATCTGAACAATTCATAACAACTAATATAATTCAAGCAATTTCGAGTAGTTCAATATAGTATAGTTCAATCAAACCATGCTATACTCCAGTTTCAATTTACTTAAACTGTTATACAATCAAATTTGGTTCTCTCAAACCCACTTTTAAAGTTTTGGTGTCCAGTTTTTATATAAGTTCAAGCTCCAATTCATGCACTTTGGTCTATCCCTAGAAAATACCATAGAGTTCCCCAATTGCACCTGTTTAACATTCAGAAAATTAGAGAGAATAGCTATCTTGGATTCTCTTGTTGTACTTTCTTGTTTACTTTTATTACTCTTTTCTTCTTTACTTGTGACTTCCAATACTGTGGTTGTGCCCACATATAATGTCAATTATCCCAGGGAGACACCTTACATGAAGAAGCTACTGCTTGTCTCAGGCTTTGTTTAGTCTGTCAGCTCTCTTAAAATTCTCAGTTGTATTTTATTTTCAATTTTCAAAATGTTCCAACATAGAGTTTAGTTTGGGTTAGTCCTTGTTTTTTTGCCAGCAATTCCATTTTGTAATTAGTAAGGTATTAAGGTTGCGTCATTTTATCAACTTATTGTTCTCAGGGAATGGATTCCTAACTCATATGAGAAGTTGCAAAGTGATGTTAGTAATTCTCTGGTGTAAGTTAGTTTAAATTCTGGGAGGGATGCCATTTCCGGATAGGGAATTGGTGATGTTTTTTTTGCTCTAACCGACATTTGACTGAGTATGTGAAGTCTCCATCAAAGATCAAGTCTACAAGGTATGTTAGGCCTCTACTTTTTTGGATACTGCATCGACCAATTTTTTCTACTCAGCCACTTTCATGAAATGTTGAATTGCATGATTGCTCACAGGATGTGTTCTTCATTGTTTGCACTGCGGGATAGTAATTCCTTGTATATCATGGACATATTGGATTGCATAGTTCTTGAGTGCAAGGTACCCATCACCACATATTCCACTCAGGGTGCTATATATTCTATCATTTGTATATTTCGCATATTTAGATGTTTTACTGGGCTTCTTTTGTTTATTTTTTGTTTTTTCTATTTATAGGATTATATTTTTTTAAAAGCTTGTTTTCCATCTAAATAATAAAGTTGATATTTTCTTGTTGGAGCCCTTTATTCATGCTCTATTCATCTACTATATTTATCCTTTCAGGTTGAGGAAGGAAACACAGGGATAGAATTTGCTGAACTTGTTGATTACTGTGTGAATAAATGTCAAACTGCAAATGCTAGTTTTTGTTGTGCATTTGCAGCGTATTTGAACAAAATAGCGGAACATTTCAAACAGGTATTCTTCTAGGAAGGTTTCTCTCGTGTATGCTTTTCAATTACAATGCTATTCTCCACATTCTGTATTCCACTTTGATTGAAGAAGCTGGGCAGGTTATGACACCCATTAATTCAATACTGAGGCTTTATGCTGCTGGATTGCTCCTTGTTAGTTGTAATTTAAGGTCCAGAACTGGAGCTCTTTGCATCACTGGCAGTGCAGATTTTGGGTGTTTGCTTGGAACTTTACTTGAAAACAGAAATACTGCAGATCAACGTCATTGCTTGGTTCCTTGCATATTTGCAGCAAAAGTAATTGCATGTCGTCCAGCATGGAAGATCAATCCCTAGCTGGTATCCCATGCACACCACTGGGTTTCAATAGTCAGGCTTATATGACTTACAAGTCAGTTTATGTAGAGGCATTGAAATTTCTATGCCAACCACTTGCTAAATCAATTAATTCAGAAAGGAAACAATTAGTTACTGAAGTGGATGATATTCAGATATGACTATGATGTTCCCCTGTCCCAAGAGGCTTCCATACCTTTGCATCTTAATACTTTCGGAGTTCAAGGTATAGTGATATCCAGTGAACTTTTCTCTTCTTTTACACTGATTTTCTTGTGATGCTAATAATAAAGAGTAGTTTCTAGCTCTTTTTTTTTGTTATTTGGATCTTATAGAAAATAAGATATCTTAACAAGTTTGTAATAATTTCACGCCGTATTGTTTTCTATGACAATGTCTAATTTCCACTTCTTATGGGCTGCAGCTTCGTGCCTAAAAACAATGGAGATGGATTTGATGAAAAGAACAAAACAGTGCTTAATGTAGTGTTGGAGCCGCCATTCACACCCTTTCCATTAGAAACCAATCTTAAGGTCGAGGTTTCTCCTTTTTACCTTCTATGATCATATTTTTACTACACTGGTGTTTTTCAGTCAACTAAAAAAAAATAAGATATTCATTTCTAACTATCACAAGTGTCATATAATATTATTGGATCTTGTGTTATAACGGCTAAATAGTTTTTTGTTGGTGTTTCAGGAGAGCAAGCAATTAATTAAGCAGATCATTGCTAGCAAATGGATTGAAACAGAAGGATTAAATTACATTATTGCTTGTCTCTACAATATTGCTGTAGTTTTGTACAGAAACAGGCAACTAGAAAAGGTACTTCATTTCCTTTTTTGTTAAAATATTCCATTTAATGATAATATATCACAGACGTATATTTGCTTATTGAGATGTTTTGTTAGGGATTCGGGAAGTGAATTCCTACAAGCTCTCTCTCTATCTCACCACAACAATCAAGAACTTGTAAAGAAGGAATAGTATGAATGTATTCACAACAATGAATCAAGATTACACTGTATTTAGGAGCTTAAACCTCCTCCACCTGGTGGTAATACGGTCACCATACAAGAACTACACAACTGGCTAACTGAAACCATAACGGGTCCTAATATATAGGCCTTTTCCCGCCCCCTCACTTAACTGATGACAGTTAAGTGTTCTGTTCCCTTTTCTCCTTTCCTATACTCTCTAATAAGTCCTAACAATTGTCACAGAACATGTGCTCTTTTGTCACAGTACTGGAAATCCAATGATTGTAAAAAGAGATATTGTAGCAGAAGCTTTATGACTTAATGAGAGCTTTTAGATGTCAGTCAGACTACTGAAGTATAGATAAAATAATTTCTTGAATCTTATTTGATACATAATGATTGTTTTAGCCTGAAATCTTAAGATATTTACTAAGGGTTCATGTATTTTGATTTTATTAACTCTACCATGCCTGCTTTACAAGGCCATTAGGGTTGAACTGAAGCAAACAACTCACTCTGTTACTTGTGCTAAAGGTGCACTCTACTTTGAACTGAATCAAACAACTACTTACTAGGACACAATCATTTTCAACTTTCCATTAGTTTCAAGAAATAGAAATGCAGCAATTGGTAATAAAAAATGTGTGAAAAGTGGTTTCTCTCTATGTGGAACATGCATAAACTGTGTAAAATCACCAGCACGGCAAGCCCATGTGGAGATTTCTATTTTCTTACCATTGATTTTGACTCTGCAAAATTAAAGAAATAGAAATATTTAGATTTCAGTGCTTTACTTTAATTTCTGTCTGACATATCACTGCAGGCTTCAAAGGTGCTAAACTTGTGCTGTAAAGCTTCATGGCTCTGTATTAAGTATCATTGTGCAAACCTGTCAGAAGGTACTTTGAAGGATTTTGTAATGGAGGCTTGCACCAGAAGTGCTCTTCTTTTAGATATTATGTATGATGTCAACAATGTAAAGATAAACAAAAAGGTGATTGAGATCCTTAACAACTGGTTCACTGCTAATGATTTGTTTGAGAAACTTCCAGCTCCAATACCGGTTGTAAAGCAGTGGGTGAAGGTAAATTTTTTGAAGTATTTACTGTTAAGTATTTTGGAAGGTTTCCCATTTCAGTTCAACTTTACTTTTTTAGTCTCACTGATTGTTTTGGTACTTGGTAATGGTATGCAGATAGAATGTAAACTGCTACGCAGGTGGGTGAGAGAATTGATTTCTCCTAGCTGTATTGCATACTCACGTCTTCTATGCGATTGTCAAAGAGGAATATTGCCGTGATCTTGGAGCAGGTTTAGTCTCTGTGTGTGTGTGTGTATATATATATATTTCCTTCATATAAAATTTTCATCATATTTTGCTGCTATTTGTTCAAATTTATGCATATTTGCCCGTTTGTCAGTTGCCTTTTTTTATTCTTATTGCCTTATTAGGAGCTTACTGCATATGAGGAGATGAGTTTTAAATACTCTGAAATATGTCACAAAATGCAAATGAAAATTACGGATATTCTTCTGCAAGATGTATATATCACTCCAGATAGTCGTTTTCAAATGGCACAAATTCTAGTGAGAAAGGGAAAGGCACTCAGGGTTAGGGGCATGGGTGGTCTCAGGGAATGCATCCAGTGTCTGTCAGAAGCAATAGCTATTATGGTAAGCCTTTGTGGTTCGTCGCGTTTTCCCTAACATCTACTTTCTCTTGTTTGTAAAATATTTTATGTTGGAGATGTATGTGCATTTAATATAATGTAATTTCTCTTCAACAGAGGGATATTTCTGGTGACATATATACTGATAGTAATTCCATTCATCATCAATTGTGTGTGACATATTGCTTGCGTGCAATCTGTACACACGAAGCCGAATCTAATTCGAAGGTACCAAAAATATGCTTATAACTTTTACTGTCAATAAAGTATTCATTTTTTTTAAGATGGACAGTTATCATTGGCAATGTCATGATCATTTAGTGATGGTAAATTCAACAGCTTCCTTGTTAAGGCTTAGCTTGGTTTCTTTTATTATGTTGAGGGATAGGGCTGCTTTGTACCATTAATTTTTCCTTTTCTTTTGCTTATATTTTCTTATTATTGTAAAGGGAATTTCTTATGCTAATGCTTTGTAATAATATTTTTTTTCTTTTTCTCCCTTAATAAATTCCTTTTATTGACAAAAGCTTATCTTGCTTTATACACCAAGCAGCAAATCTTTGAAGATGTCAAGTCTGCTTTGGATCTATGGTTGAGTACATCAGATCTTAATCACTTAGAAGAGGGAGATTATTCTGCATTATCTGACAGTTTAATGATTCTGTTCTATAACATAGTTGATTTACTACAATTGAAGGTCCGCTTCCCTTTAATCATTTTGGTTTCTTTAGTTTTTGTGTAAGATTTATAGTCACGGTTTCGTATTTTCATGGCATATCTTCAGGGTTTCGTGGAACTGTTCAATTATGCATATCGACTGGTGATTAAAATGTTTAAGTGGAAGAATGTTCCAATTGAAAAGTGGTTGACCTTAATGTGGGAAAGTAGAAATCTATGTCATGCTCTCTGTGTTTCACCTGTTAGTGAGGAGTTCATCATGAACTCATTGGATGAGTTCAGAGAACTTTCAGATATTAATTTCTGGATACGTTATCTTCAGGGAAATCAATCATCATTGATAGGGTTTCAGCAGAATTTTTCTTTCTTATTTGCCAGCTCTCATAGGAATTCCAGCAGTCATGAGAGCTCTTTTCGAACAGACATCACAATTGATGAAGTTCAAAAAGCAGCTCTTGATCTGATTTCAAATGTAAGCTCAGTTTTAGACAGAACTTATCACAATCTCTTTTTATACAAAATCATCACTCTGTTCTCTATTAATCTTCTCCCAGGTTCCTGTCCCAAGTCATTCTACATTTCTTGCCGGTTGTCTTTTTTATGATTTGTGCCCAAGACTTGTTGCAAATGGACAGTTAATAGAGTTAAGTTGTATTAGTTAGTTCTGATTTCAATTCTTATGTTATGGATAACCAGTCCCTTAGCTTCTAAACTAAAGACAAGTGATATTTGAAGCATGTTCTTGATTGTCTTAAGTCGTACTGTTTGTGTAAAGGATTACAAGAGTGATGAATTTGTAATTGATTTTGAACTGTTGATGTTCATGTTTCTAACTGAAATTGGTTTGGACTTTTAGATGCGATAACTTGTGTCTGTAAGGTTCACTTGATTGAG